CGGGGAGTTAAGAGATATATTTTAAATTTTTGGGTCAATTGATATATGAAAACAAAAAATAAGGGTACGATGATATTTTCCTTATAATGAAACCACACTTCTACAAAATCATGTTTAAAGCATTCGCATGACTCCAAATTTTACGCATACACTCTCTTCATCTGAATAATCTATTCTTAAAAAAATAAAATTCAATTTGTGATCTAGATAGAGTAAAAATGAGTACCTCCAATTATAAATCTAGACGATCAATTTTGTAAATTTTAAGATCTAGGCCTTTATGAAATAAATTTTTTTTTTTTCAATTTTTTTCTTTTTAAACATTGTTGATCTAATGATAATAAAGCTATCCAAAAATTTTAGAGAAAAAAAAATCCTTTTAAGTCGTAGATCTAAACATCTCACTAAAATGAGCAGCCTATATTAGTTGGGCTAAACAAATATGTTATTGGGTGTGTTTTCAAAATTTATATTTTTGTAATTATTCATTAGAATAAAAAGAGTGTATATTTAAAAACCAAAATTGAACAAATATCCCTAACATGACTTTTGAACATCATTTTATTATATTATAATAGAACCGTTGCATAATCATACTTAAAAAAAAAATGTTGCATGAAATTATTTCCCCTTTATTTATATATATATATATATATCGAGAGAGTGATTGAAATTGTCTTCTATTGTTTTGGAATAAGGTAAGGGTCCTATCTGGCACATAAGAATAGGAAGAAATATAGCCATACCCCATGTTTGTCATTTACTATGGAAACAAACATACACGACCTGGTTACTGAGGGGCAACATATCTCATCGCATTCCATCCCCACCAACCAAAAGGTTAAATAACTCAAATAGAACTCCCTTTACCACACACGGGTGGTGTATTGTCTACGATAGAATAGGTCAGTGTGAATGGAGGCGTGAACACGCAGAAAAGTCCCAATAATTTCCATAAAAGATTTTGGAAGAATCTACAAAACCTGACAAATGTATATCTCCAACTTTGTTAAAATCGCTATACTTTATATATCCCATGCTCCATGCCTTGTCACTCTAACAATGACCCTCTTCATGTTTAATATCCTCCCACCCGTGATGCCTATCTAGAAAGTATTTGGGACTACAAAAAAATATGGTGAAAAATAATCTCCAAGGGGATGATCCAATTTTTGGACAATCAGATCCAAGTGTTTCAGGACTGGAAGTCTAACCCTTTCAACAAAAAGACCATTTATCTTTTGTATATAAAAGTCACATTCTTGTCCCTTAAATTTCAAATTAGGCGGTTATACGAGTGTTATTGAATAGACATAAAGTTTCAAAAAAAAAATCCTCCAGACTTTGTGACTCACTTTAAGCCATCCAATTTGACATCTAATAAGTATGAATGATTGTAATCTACATGTACAAAAGATAATGAAAAAAAGTTTATATAAGGTTGCAACCTTAAAATGTAGAATTAAAGATACACCTCAAAAATCCATCGAAAAGGTTGTTTTAAGATTGAAAAACCCTCTAATTGATCATCGAGATGTATGAATATAAAAGAACCAAAATTTTGAGTCCTAAAAATAGTGCATCTTGCAACACATTATCTTAAACCGTCCAAGGTTTCATATGTTTACAGATCTACTTCATTTTAATCATTTTTGGAGTTTTAAATTTTATAATTAGATATGAAAATAAACAGGTACGCCTTAATTGGATTGTTTAAGGTTGCAACCTTATAGAAACCACACCCAAAGATAAATGGTCTCTTGATAGACAATCCATTTTTAATCCCTTTTTTGGGGGCATGGTGATTCTAAAATGAAAAATATCTATATAAGTTGTCAACCTTATACCATACAAGTAAGGTACCCATTGCAGAATATTGTTAATATACAGGAAAACCCTCAAATAGATCATCTCGACCTCGAGATTCATAGACAAGAAAATAAGGGGATTTGCGGTCTTAAAAATAGTTCATCTTCTAACACATTATCTGGACCGTTCATTTTCAAGATTTTCAAGTGTTTATAGATATACTTGATCATCATCATTTCTAGAACTTTAAATTTCATAATTGGGGGCAACAATAGATTTTCACATCATCACAAGACTTTGCAGCACCAAAGCTGCATTTTCGGCATAGTTTTGATGTACACCTTACTTCGAATAGTATAAGGTTGACAACTTATACAAACCTCACCCTGCTAAACTAGATCCCGATCAAAAGGTCTTCCTTAAGTAGCTCTTTGAAGGAGTAAGTATATAGTGTGCGTACACTATATTCAATATATAGCAGTCGTAAGCAGGATTCCACTGAAAGCTCCATATATGAAAAGCCAAAGAGTCATACCTTCATTCACATTGTGGCACAAACAAAGCCTATTTTGTTTGGGTTTGTAAAAGACAAGTGAATAATACAACACAACCCATAATTGAATACTAAACGTATATTCCTATAAATAGATAATACACTGCCGTACATTCCAATAAAAAGAAAATGTAGGTATGAACTCAAACACCCATTGATGATTATATTAAATATTTTAATCTACATTGGGAGGTTTTGGCAATTAATCACAAAATATTACCATTTTTTAAAGTTTTGGTGGGTTCTTGATTAAGTGTTGTCTTCTAAAATCATCTTAGAAATGGATTTTGGATCTAATGTTTTGCAAGTAGATAATCTCGACTACCCAGAGCAAGAATCTGAAAAAATAAATAAACATATAAATTACAATTTGAGATTTATAAATACCAGAACTCGAACAGTCCAAGTTGGGCAACCAGCCATAAAAGAAACCTCAAAAAAGAAAGGAAAATTATAAAAATTTATGAAACTTAAGAAAAAGAATGCAAAGTTGATTTTACTGGCGCATACACTCAAATGAAATATACATAATAATCTATTATAGAATTCAAAGCAGATGCTCCAATCTTCGATTCCGGTGCAAATGGATGCATTCAATCATTGTCAAATGGATGGTCCTCAACTGTACCGGATCGAAACTCACAAACTAGATTTGACATTTGAGTTACGAATTAATTGATCCAAGCTCTTGCAGTTTTTCAGCCAAGTTTTGATTTTTCTTTTTCTTTTCTTTTCTTTTCTTTTCTTTTTTTGTTTGCGGGTGTGTGTGGAAACTCAGCCTTGGATTCAATAGGTATTCTAAAAATAGGCGAAGGGATGAAATTTCAGGGTAGATCATGCTAGTGTTGCAAAATTTTCACCAAAAACTCAACTTCAGCCAAACCTTTGGTTGAAAATCAAAATCTCACGAATCCAAGAATTTTTTCTTTTTATAAATCTGTTGTCTTCAATCAAAAAGGTGAAAAAAGAGGTTTACAGGCGGATATTTTAGATCAAATCAGGTTCAAAAGAATGAAAGAAAATTTCTAGATCCTTAAAGATCCTTTTTTTTTCTTTTTTGTGAATTCTTAGCTTCAGGCCTTTTAAGGTCCCAAACCTTTTCTTGTTTTTGCAATGTGCGGTTCAAAACCAATATTAACCTTGAAGCTGGGGAACTGGGCGAGGACCTATATTATCCCTGAAGCAGTTTGGTCTCATAGATTTCACATCCAGATTGGCGATCTGGTTCGGAAATCATGCTAACACGGTTTTAAACACTGCTGATACGTGTATCACCTTGTCATACACCCCTACCGAGTGTAGTCCTTTGAGAATCTCCTTTAAACCCTTTCGATATCATCAAAACAAAGAGACGAGCCACTTAAAGAAGGGTGCATTTGCCATACGGACGCATTCGTAACTGTAGAGGTAGGGTGTATCTTCAAATAATTTTATCATGTTATATAATTTTGATGTAAAATGTTATTAGGATTATTTTAAAATCTATTTTTATATCTAAATATAAAATTTTAAATTTAAAAAATAGTTAAAATCAAGTAGATCTATTACCATATGAAAATCTTGAAAATGGGCATTGTCGATAATATGTTGTAAAATGCACTATTTCTAAGACTTAAAATCTTTTTATTTTTAAGTCTCAATCAAACAATTTTTTAACATTAAAATTACTTTTTCCGATGGATTTTTGAGGTGCATCCGTAGTTCTACATTCTACATTATAAGGTTGCATCCTTATATAAACATTTTCCCTTAAAAGAATGATATTTTTTTTTGATGGAAACTTAGAGAATGATACTATAAGGTAACAAAACTCTCAGCCACGCAAATTCTGTTGAAGTGACCAGAGTAAGGCCCTTCGTTTCATTTAATGGAAATTATATTATAATTATTCTTAGGGTGCGGTTTGTATAGAGCCTAGGCTCTAAACAATCAAAACTACCTTCAAATAGTAAAATCTTTGTGATAGCCTTAAAATATATTTTCATATTTATTTATACAGTTTGAAGCTTCAAAAAATAGTATAGATCGACAGACATAGGAAAACTCGAAAATCTTGAAAATTGATAGTCCAAAAATGCGTTACAAAATACTCCATCCATTTTTTTTTCTCATGTTCATGGATGTCGAGATGATCAATTTGGGGTTATTTGGGTATCAAAACAACCTCATCTAGTGAACTTTTTGAGGTAGGCTCTAATTTGATTGTTTCGAGCATCGGCTCTATATAAATTTTTCTCATATAATATCCAATTTCAGATAATAATAAAAAATCCTTGTTATCATGAAATTTTCTCCCTTAAGTTTTTTCCTGCAACTTTTTAATAATTTTTCTTTGATTCTTTTGGGATATAAAAATTATGCTGGAATGCAAAAATAAGTCCAAAGAAAAACTGTAACGAAACTTCCATAAAAGAAATTACAGGTACCCTTAATCTCCATTTTACTAATTTATTGAATATTTGTATATTACAACTGTTAATTATTATTATTTTTACTAAGATATTTCCATGGAAACAAAAATCTCCCAATAAACTAGCTCTTTCACAAGCTTTTGAGAATGATACTTATAACAAAGGCCTGCAAATGTCTATAAAGCTAGAGATAATGCCATATCAAGCTATTACAAACAGAAAGCAACTACCGAAAATTGATAACTTACATTTTATTAGAAATTTCATTAAAAAATTATAATTCATCATAAGAAGGCGTTTGAATGCCTAAAAAGAAATATTTATACATACTCAGTTTGAACAGTCACATCTTGGATTCCTATATCATGGTACAAGCTATGCACATGTCGAAGTATCTGGTGATCATCCGCTCCATTCTTCACCTGCTTCCGTGATGAGAGGAGGCAGATGGAATGAGAACACACTTAACCATTTCACATGTTGAAAGAGAAACAGATAAGATACATTTTCCTACCATTCGCAAATAATTTCCAACACATAGAGAAAACTTACCTGTATCGATAGCGTCCCAACCACATAACCAGGAACCAACTCCCAAAACCGAGTTTGGGAGACCTCCGATACATCCTCAAGAGCACTAATCTGCACAAATCTTATGACGTAAGTCATCATTATGGCACACGCAAGTGCGTGCGAAACCCAAAGATGGCATGCTGGTAGTTCCAAGTGGTTTTCATCTCTTTATTTAGTGCAGAGAGAGAGAGAGAGAGAGAGAGAGATTACCTGCCGCCAGCATTTAGCAAGAGCTGAAGATGGTATACTGGATGGTGCTGTCTGTAGCAAAACACTGCCCGTTGCTTTAAATAGTGGCATAACAACAATGAAAACTGCAATTGAAACCAGCCCCAGGCATATGACTTCTGCATTCTCTACCCTGCACAAAAATATGCTAAAAGTGAGCATAATTTCACTAGTGTACATGAATAAGATATCGAGGAAATTTCTGAGTGCAAATGAGAATACCCAAGGGTCAAAAACCATGACGCAAGGATCAGGCCCGCACTGAAGAACAAAAATTAAAGATCAAATGAGGCTCGTCTATCTAATTACAAAGCAATAAACATCAAAGAGAGAATATGAAGTAAACATCTCACTAGGTGGACACTGACCTTCTGATAGAATCAGCAAGGACGTGTAAGCAGACAGAGTGATAGTTCATATCTTCAGGTTTCCTGTAAACTGTAGAAAATGGAATCAGCAATCAAGGTCATAGCAACTATACCAAGAACAGCCAATTATCCAGCCCACTGTTATCAGAACAGGAGCAGTGAGGACACCAGTACAAACCAGTCAGTTCACAGGTCGACCATCTGAAAATACAAACAAAAAATTCTTCAAAAAAAAAAATGGTCACAACAGTCTGAACCAGCCAGTTCACACTGATTCAGCCCTGTTCAATCAGCTTTTGAACAGGTGTAGGCTGGTACAGGCAGTGACCAGATATCCCACGTTCGATTCTAGTTCAGCACTCCACCCGGTTTGGGAATCCCGAACAGACTGGTTGGGGCACTGTTTCATCGGCTCCCAGTCTGAATTGGCCAGTCTGGTCCAGTCTTAATTTCACTGATCTAGTCTATGCGACAAAGTGACAAACTTTGTAACTAAATTAAGAACAGAATAAGCATTAGTACACTTCCTGTGTGCAGAAAAATTTTCATTGATTAGTTCATGACAACATAAATTAACTAGATGAAATATACCAGTGCTTCACAAGTAAACACAAAACAGACACCAAAAGTGCCAAAATTATCTCAAAACTATCTTGGATGTTTTTGGGATAAACTTCAAGGGTTGGAGACCTTCATCCAAACTGATATGACTAATAAGCTGAAGCCCAAGGGACAATTTCAACATTTATATCCATCTCATTAAACAAGCATAAACTGCAAACTTTTCTGTCTCTTACAACTGATAGAGAAGGAAATAATTTTGCTTTTCATAGATTTTCATAGTCATGGAATAATTAGTCCAATTTCCAAATAAACTGAGCACTCTCTTATCTGAAGCAAATAAAATAAAGCATCTCCACTATCCTGTAGTCTTTGATCCAACCACCAGTTCAATAAGAAGGTCAAGCATAGAAACCTTGAACTGTATCCTCCATCAAAACTCAGGTGCCCTCCACAGAGAAAGAAACAAAGAAAAAAATAACTTCAAAAGTGCCAAACCAATGTTTGCCAACAGGCCCAAAACAAGGTCGAATCTTATTCACCAAAATCATTTTAGAGGAAGAGTAAAAGAAAACACATCATGATATATCCTTGAAGACATATTTGGGCCAATTCAGTGATCAGGTGAAGTCCGGAAACTATTAACTCCTTAAGCAATACTCCTAATTGACAAAAGAGAAGTAAAGCAAACAACCTCAAATGACATAGATAAGAACTCTACCTATATTTATCCGTGCATAGCTCCGAAAGAACCAGACGCCAAGCAGGTTCACCAATAAATTTGTCACAGCCGAAACAATCAAGTAATGCCTGAGAAGAAAGAATTATTTGCATATCAAAAAATTTTATTATTAAAGAACATGAACAGAGCATGATACTGCAAGAATTGCAACACATTAATCATATCCACAGCGTCAAACAATATGAAAAAGAAGCGGGAAGAGGGAGGGGGGAGGGAGGAAGAAGAAGCTAGAACATCCGCACACAATTGCATTATGTTCCAACGGATTAGAAAATTAATGAAGGAACCTATGAAGAAGTACAAGCTGCAAAACAACAAAATACAATGAAAAATAAGAGAGAACGTAGTACACTGTAAGATTTGCTAAGGTCATTAGCCCAAACAAGTTCAGAAATTTTTTCTACTAAATTTTCCAGGTACTACTTTAAAATATAGAATGAAAAAAGAAATCCAGCAGCCAAACTAGTTTTAAAAAACAGAACCAGCAGAAAGCAGTATCTTGGACCATGCTAAAATACACTACAAATTGATTTAGAGCACACCTAGCGGACCCTCAGTGCTGACTCATAGCAGGAGTAGGCTCATGGACGGGCTCAAAGAAATAAAAGGGAGCATAACACCTGCAATAATAAATTTATGATGTCCAAATTGCAATATAACTCAATGAATGACACATCATCATAGTTTCACAATATGAGCCAACTTAGAAATGATGCAACAAGCCACTCGTTTTCAGCTGGCAAGGCAATATGATAGTTTAATTTGCTACTCTGATGTTATGATGCTGCAGACTCTGAAAATTGAAGGCACTGTTTGATTGCCAGACCAAATTGCAATTTTGGCTAATTCAAAATTGTCACAAGAAATTTTAACCTAAAGAGCTGTTTGAATCAGAATTAATTCCCAACTGCAATTTGGCTTTCAATTTGAGTTTTTTGCATAACTACTCCAGGTAGTTTTACAAAAAATCAATTTGGTTCTCTCTCTCTCTCTCTCCCCACATCACCACTGGCACTACCACCACCTCCTACCAGCGGCCACTACTACTATATCGCTATACCACCACCACCGCTACCACCATTCTATCACTTCCACCTATCCATCACCACCACCACCACCAGTCTACCACCACAAAACCACTCCACCACCACCACTTACCCACCACCACCACCGCCAGTCTACCACCACCACCACCGCCAGTCTACCACCACCACCACCAGTCTACCACCAGTCTACCACTCCACCACCACCACCAACACCAGTCTACTACGGTACTGCCACAAAACCACTCTACCACCACCGCGATGCTACATCACCACCACCACTCCGCCGCCACCACGACCAAACCACTCCATCTGTCCACCACCACCACCACCACCACTACGTCATCACCACATTGGCACCACCCCCACCACTACGTCACCACCACCACTCTGCCAACACCACTACATCTCTCCCGCCACCACCACCATACCTCATTACCATTCTACAACCAGCCCCACCACTGGCTATCAGCCGCCACCACCACTACCGCACGACAACGATGACAACCACAACCACCATTGCAAAACTTACCACCACCCAATACGACATAATAATCATTTATAGTTCAAATAAAGATAATCCAACAACCATAAAGAGCAAATGACAATTGACCAACTTACCATTTGGTCAACTACAAATTGAAAAAAAAAAATTATACCATTTGACAAAAATTTGCAATCAAACAATCCGAAAGGCCTTCCTCAAACTTGAAGACGAATATCTTTCTCATGAATCTCAAAATATTATTAATGATCTAATTATCATTAATTAGCAACCATGTCCTTATAATCATCCCAGAAAAAAACAAAAAAAAATATATTGAGTTCAAATATAGACATTTATGCATAATTGCCCAAAAAATTATAGACATTGATATGAAGTGTCTATACTCTTCTTCTATGACCGTAATATGAGTTTAATTGAATTGAGGATATCTCTTTCTTCCTCTATTGGTATTTGTCCTTTTTATTGTTAACTAAAGCTTTTAAGCAAGAAGCATAAATAGCAAATGTAGAGGACATGGCAAGTTGACATCTCATTGACTACAAAACCCCTCTCAAACCAGCAATGCAACCCAAATCACCCTGCTTTTAATGGGTTTGTCTACCTTATACACAGTTAGCAATACGTGTTACGGCAATATCAGTAAGCCAAAAAGTGAGCATCAATTCAGTTTTGCTCCGAATAGACAGCCAAAAAATGCAGCCCAAACAAAACAGAGCGATGAACAATCACCGAGTGAAAAAACATGATTGGCTTGGATTTGATTCAAAAAATGGACTTAAAAAATGAGGGTATATATACGTATCTGTGTAATACATATGCCAGGTAATTGTATTAACTCTTGAGAAAAATCAAAGAATTTTAGTTCACTATATATGTAATCAACTAATAAACGAATATTAATACCAAGTATTATCATAAGCCACAACTCATTTGACATCAATAATACAGAAGAATAAACCTAAGGCAATTTTTGAAATTTTTTTCAAGAAGATAGGGTAATCATTTGTTTTCTTTTACAAATTGATTTTTTTAACTCTTTTTGAAAAACACTTTAACAAATGGAGTATTTTGGAAAAACTTCGTTCTAAGCAGGGTTTTGCTATCTATGATCCTTTCATCGGTTTCCTCATAACAAGATGGAAAGCATGTTATTGGCATTTGTCGTGTTGAAATTCTATTGGAAAAACACTCGAGATAAGTCAACATCTTTTGCCTTTAGTTGTCTTTTAATTATTTCAAATAATCTAGTTTGATAGGTCTCTAAAGGTGTTCATCCATTTTTAGGGAATACGTTCACAACATATGCAATACAACTGGTACATATTAATAGCATATACATGTTAATCTCAGTCATAACATGAATGGTAACCCGCCCTCAACCATATGGTCATGCAGAGGAAGATACAAATAGTGCCACAATATGATGAGAAGAAAATTGCAAGAACCCATGGTAAGGTCATTCATGATGGTTGTGTCCCTCACTAACCACCTCTCAGAAGGGGCATTCCACCCACCCACCACCAAGACCAACCCGTCTCCAAGAACACAGCATGCCATCCAACGCACATCACTTTTACTACAAGATTCAGAACCAATCCCATACCCAGGGTAAGAGGGGAAGGCATCCAAGGTCACACAGTTGGATGGATAAAAAGTTTCAATAAGTCAACTTATAAGACTTTGATCAACCCCCCAGACATAACCTTGTACCCCACTACTCACGGCGACACGTTTCATGCTACACCCTCCATGTAACTAGTTACCTCAAGTGAGACACTACCTGATCATATGCATGAGATAAAATTAAAAAGAAACGAATTAATATTAACACATGACAGCTGCTACACAAAAAAGAAGAAATATATCAATCATAGCATTGGTCAAAATCAAGAGAAACAGAACTTACTTGTGCTCAGACTCATCTTGTATGAATGCATGAAGCGCTTCTATAGCAAGGGAAAATGACATAAACAAAAGAAACAGCTGTCTACATATGCAACAAAGATCATTCATATGTTAGACCGTAGTATGAAATTGCACCAAAAATGATGCTAGCGTAAGGCATACAAGATAAATGGCAGGTAAATATAAAAATGAAGGCAATGGTGATGTGCACAAATACTTACAGCATTGGTGAAAGCAGAAAGGACTTCAAGCCTTCTGTACCTGAAATAAGAAAATAGAATATCACTATTGTTTGTTGAGGCAGCATCAAAATGCAATACAAGAAAGAACTGCAATTTACTGAAACATTTTTTGCAATATGGAGAAATATCAACTCGGCACAAGAAGAAAAGAGTAACTCGAAGGGCCTGACATCTTTCTCGGGTAGCAGTCCAGCTCTACAACATTTCCCAGGCACTGTGAACCCCTCAACTAGTTCGAAACTGCATTTTTCAGGCAGTTTGAATTCCTAGAAACACCTAGTGTTAAAATTCCAATTTGAATAATTTAGAAACAACACAAACTCTGCAAAAGCCCTAAGCGAGGTCTCCTGCTTTCTTTACAAAGGTCGCTCCACTTCACAATTGGAAACACCACAGCGTTTCTACAATATTATGGGCTACCAGCCCACTTTCCTCACACCCTCACTCATTTTAAGTCATTAACAATGCATTCAATTCTCTTAGACTATTTTGAATGGGTAATGAAACCAATGAACAGGTATATCCTGCTCTACTTCAAGTATGACAGACAAGCCTGACGCTAACCAGTTGGTGGCACTACAGTTTTGAAGAATTATGGGGTCCAACATAACAAGCATGACTAAGCGATACATGGCATAATGTCGCCAACACTGTCTATCTATCGATGAGATGGTGATTCAGGTAGAAGTAAAACAGGTACCACTTTGTCATTCCTCATTTTGAATTCCATGTTTCTCATTTATCAATGTCAATGCTTAAACCTCTACCAAAAGTTCTCAGACTCCTAGCATACCAAGACTAATATAGGGTTCATCATAAAATAATAATAACAATAATCTAGGGCTCCATCCACTTATTTGTCCTGAGCAAGTGTTTTTAATGACTACTTCAGATTTCTAGTGCTTATGCAAGAATTTCTAAGAAATAAAAACTTCTATTCAGCTGTATAGTCTATGCTCCCCAACTTTTGGGCCCACTGTGTTTTTGGGCCCTCCACCTATTATCCCTTCAGTCCACCAATTTGTCCTTCTTAAACCCCACAGGCAGGTGATGATCACCATGGTTAATTTTGGTCTGTTTCAAAAAGTAATATCTTTACAAACATTAGACTTCTATTCAGCTGTATAGTCTATGTTCCCCAACTTTTAAGCCCACTGTGTTTTTGGGCCCTCCACCTATTATCCCTTCAGTCCACCAATTTGTCCCTTCTTAAACGCCACTGGAAGGTGATGATCACCAATGGTTAATTTTACTCTGTTTCAAAAAGTAATATCTTTGCAAACATTTTGTACTTTGATCAAGACATAACTGTTTTTCTTTTTTATAAATTATAACTGTGCTCATGTAAACATAAGAGGGTTTTTTTTATATCATTATGAAAACATAAGATGGTTTCCCACACATTTAGGAATTAGCCATGCGGGGATATGAAAGCAATAAGTTGGGCATAAATGTCGATACAGATAGTTGAAGTTACAACTTCACCTTAGACATCACTCTATGCAAAAATCATAAATTAGTAACAGTATTCTAGCTTCTATGAGTGGGCGTAAACCTAGTTGTCATCAGCTTAGTAACATGCATGAATCTCAATTTTCCCCTTTATGTAACCACATGATTAGAAAATGTTTCCAGCATCATCGACATGTATTCATGTCAGTTTGTCTTTTCAAGAACAAGTTTTTAGCGCCAGAAAAAGCAGTTGCAGTTAATAATTTAAAAAACCAAAATTCCTACATATAGCAATCAAAGGACTAGGAGAGATTTAAGAAGAGAACTAAACTGACCCATAGGTGTAAATTTCATCAGGTTTCTTCCTGGAAGCAGCCATGGCAAATAATGAAAAAGTTAAAAGGCCACAACCAAATGTCAAATGAAAAGCATCTGACACCAAACCTGCAACAGCAACAATGACAAATAAGTGATGAACTATAGTAGAAGAGAATGCATTCTATGTAGGTATAGATAAGACTCCAGATTATAAATAAGAGCTCAATAAAGTGATTTACGTTTTCTGTCTTTTTAGGAAAGTTATATATCACATTTTTTCTTGTAACATTATGCAGATATATCTGACATAATAGAACATAGACAATCTACATAACAGTACACGTCTTTAAAGTCATCTAGGCATTTGAGGAAGTATAGGAGAAAGAGGATTCCATGTAATACATCATAATACATCTAAAAGAACTCCTAATAAAGTGTTACAATGTTTATAAACTAGGACTGGGCATGGAAGGCAACGTACAAGCCTGTGTGAACAAGTCTGGCTCAGCTGAGTCTCAACCACACTCACACGACCCATTAAAAATTGACATGGAAACCTCAGGACCTGTGGGACCATGCCGATTCCTGAGGTTTCTGTATGGGCAGGTCCAAGTAACTCGGGTGAGTCCAATGAGGATCCATGAGGAATACAAAAGGGAGAGAAAAAAAAAAAAAAAAGCAAATGAAATACACTACTTAAATAGTAAGTATAAATCCAACGCCCTGCACAAAGTTCATGAAAAGTTGTATGCAGGTCATTTTTATGCTATGCTATCGTAAATGTAGGGGGGGACAAGAAGGTAAACCCAGATGTACAAGGCAGTGAATTGAATTTGAATCCAATATAGAGGCTGAACCAGCACCCTTGGGAACCACTCCTCACACAAAAATACTTTCTTTGAGGGAAGGTTACAAATATTAATATACAAGAAAGTATTATGTTTATGTCATACAGGTCTTTCACTACTCACTAGGAATCTATGTTGAAACATTTTAAAAAAAAAAATATGCACACGAACAAATCACTTACTGGAGTTACAATTGCTATTATACAAATATCCGCAACAAAATAAAATGAACAGATGTAGCAGTATTTTTATCTTAACCTAAGGTATGCATCAATTTAGCAGATGTTATTTCCAAACCACATGCTACATTCTCCATGATTAATGAATCTATGGACACTTTTTCTCTTAGTTATACAAAATTATTGCACTAAATATCACTGAGAATCACAAGCAAGAAAAACAAAAAACTCTAGTTTTTGGTTAACATTCAATTCCATCACATCTATAACATAAAAAACCAACAAAAAGGAACGTTACTATTCTTACCCACACGCCCAGTGAAAAGGCCAATAAGCAATTCTGTAGTGGAATAAGCCACGTTCAGCAAAATCATCACAGAGAGCCGCTTCATAGGCCGGCTTCCCGATCTCATAACAGGAATAACAGTCAGTATATCCCTCAAAAGGGAATTCTTCACGTCAAAGCTGCTCTCCTCTTTGAACGAGGATTTATCATATGGAAACATATCAACTAAGTCCCCTCTCCAGGCGTTTCCCTGTTCTGAAGAACTATTTTGAACATTGGAAACGCTCCGAAGGACTAAAGGTCGAGGTGTAAATACTGTAATATCGGGCTTTCGAAAAGACGAATTGCGAGAGAAAGCCAACCTCCTGTCGCTTCCACCATCAATAGAGTGCTGAAATTGTGGTTGGATAGTCGTATCATTAAAGGATCTACTGTTCATTGAAGAAACCCTAGAAAAGTCTGGGATTTCTTTAGCAGACCATTGAGAATCAGCATAAACCCTAGAAAGATCATTGGTTCCGCCTCCAGACGTTTCAGGATCATGCATTAATAGTGATGAATGCTCCATTTCAAACTCAAGCACAAGCCTTTCAGGAAAATGCATATAAACCCCTAATTATTTCCTCTCGGGCATCCACGAACTAACAAGAGAAGCAATACACAACATAAAACCCCGTCCAATATACTCCTTCAAGGATTTCAACGACTGTAGCTTGAGGTAATGAGCATTTCCTTTATAGAGCACATTTTAATCTCTACAATCCACCGATTTCCAGGGTTTACACGCCTCCGTTGCTCTGGTAAGAGCCCACATTCAGATACCTGACTCTAGCGCGAACCAGATGAACTCCATGATTAACATACCTAATTTCGTATCAGTAGCGTGACTTATAGGGTTTTAGACACGATCTCTAAACTTTTCAAATAAACGCCAGGGCTTTTACAGCTGATCTCCTCAGTGTTCTAACGAACTTTACGGAATAGAAACCTGGTTTTCTCTGAAGTGTGATGAATTCTAGGGTTTTGCAATCTGTATATTTTCTGACATTTACAACGAGAAGCTCTGCCTTCTGGTTTCGATCAGAATAATCATTGTCCTGCATTACGGGAGCCCGTATGTCATTTGCTTTTGTGCTCCTGCAGGATCATTCGGTTGGTTACTCCCTTGGCCAGCGTTCATTCTGGAAATATTATTAACACACCAAATTTCGGAGATATAATCTCTCTAACTTGTGGACAAACCTCCAAAAAAACACAAGAAAAAATGTTATATCTCGCACTTTTGGAGTGTAGAAGCATTAAATAACTCAAAATTTAAGTTTCTTTTTAAAAATAAGGAAAGATAATTTATCTAAGGATAATTATCAAGTTATATAATTAAATAACTCAAAATTTAAGTTTCTTTATATCTCTATCATTACTCTAAAAATAATTATGGAGTGATTCTTAGGTGATTGCCAAAGGAATATACAGGGGAATATCGTATTTGCCCATAGCAGAACTATAAATGTTGTGCTATTTATAGTACAAGAGCCTGAGTAATTGGTCATACGATTTGCAATACTGCCTCTTAGACTCAATTCCTATCAAAAGTAAAGGCCCTCTCCCTAGTTACTCACCGGAAAAAAAAAAAAAAAATATAAATAACTCAACTACCCTTGGGTAAGGGGTTGAGTCCCATGCCCGAGTCTTTAAACATAGGCTGTTTATCTCTCACAGTCACCTCCCTCAGCAGAGTCTACAGTATTTTTTATTAAATTTATCAAAATAAACACAATATGTCAGCTATTTAATCCTTTACCCATTTTCAACTATAAGATCATGTGTTTTTTTATGAGCTTTTCCAAATTATAAAAAAAATATCAAATGGTTCTAGGAAGTACTCTGACAATTTTTTCTTAATTTTTTAAAAATGGATATTTAGTGTACTATTTCCATTGCCCATCTCCTGTAAAAAATCAGAATTCCATGATTGATTTTAAAAGAAAGATCAGGATCTTATGCATCAAGTGATTTGAATAGCCTATAAATTAGATTTTGTGGAAAATTGTGAACATGTGAAGCGTTTGTAGTCCAACGGTTAGGATAATTGCCTTCCAAGCAATAGACCCGGGTTCGACTCCCGGCAGACGCATTGAATCGGTACTTTCCCAATGTATTTTTTATTTATTTATGTCCTTTGACTTTGTCATCGTAAATCCTAGTTTAGACCGGTCTTATTTTTTACCGGAAGAGCGAGAGATCCACTTGGAAAGAGTGTTCCGAGTGGGGGATATGCACAATGCTCAATCTCAAAAATCCACTTGGAAAGAGTGTTCCGAGTGGGGGATCTACTCGATTTGCACTACGGTGCTTCTAAAAAATCCACCTGGAAAGAGTGTTTCGAGTGGGGGATCTCTACTCAATTTGTACGAATTTGAAAGATCATGAATTATAGTTGAACATTGATTTTTAAGCATCATAAGATTTTTTCATACTAGAAGTACTATTTTGGGCAAAATTTAGAGACATATCTTGTATAGCATCAGCCGAATACTTTATACTAGCCGTTCGACTGCTTAGGGCGAGCCAACATGGACTCGCCTAAGTAACTCGGGGTCAGCACCTTAGTGAACACGAGTATCCAAGCTAAAGGATATTAAAAAAGAAAATTCAAACAAATTATAAAAATCTAAAAAACAGATATTTATTTGTTTTATATTTTCGATCATTTTGAGTGAGATTTGAAAGTGTTTCAACCATGAATATTTTTTTTTTTTATGTTTTCCCTTTTTTTTTGGATATTTATAAAATACTGGTGGTCAAAAATTAATTTTTCAAAAATTATTTTTGAACTACTTTTTTAATCTCATTTAGATATATTTTGTTTCGTTTGCTTTAAATATAGGGAAATTATCGCAAATATACCTTAATGTAAGCTTAATTGGAAAAAAAAACCCCAAACTTTCGTTTATCTCGTCTACATTCTTTTTTTTTATTTTTTATTTTTTTATTTTACCAAAATGACTTTCACGATAGTCGTATTACCGTAATAGTTAGTGTGCGGTACTTCAACTACCGTAATATGAATTTTTATTATGGTACAATACCGTAATACTGAAGGCATTTTATGTGGTACTTTAAGTCTGTAAACTTACACTAACCCTTATACAACATTTTAAGTACCCAAAACACTAACCCATGTTATACATCATGTATACGGCATTTTAAGTACCCAAAACACTAACCCATGTTATACATCATATAAAATGCTGTAAACCCTTTTCTGATTAGGTTTATCTCTTTCATCTCTAATTCCTTTTCTTATTATGTTTATTTTTTTCATCTCTAATTCTTTTCATGTTTATCTATTCTTAGTTTATCTATTCTTTCTCTCTCTAATTCGTTTTAATATTTATCTCATCTTGCTCTCTTAAACTGTCGTAAACCCTTTTCTCATTATGCTTATCTCTTTCATCTTTCTATTCTTTCTCTCTCTAATTTTGATAGTTATCTTTTATTTTTCTCTACAATCTCATCATCGTTATCCATGTTATATGACACTTAAAATGCCGTAAACCCTTTTCTCACTGTTTATCTCTTTCATCTCTAATTCTGTTCATATTTATCTATTCTTTCTCTCTCTATTTCTGTTTAATATTTATCTCTTATTTCTCTCTCTACAATCTCATCATCATTTCTTTAGAGGGAGTAATCGAATACGGACTTCTCTAATTATGTTTAATATTCATCTCTTATTTCACTCTCTATAATCTCATCATCGTTTCTTTAGAGAGAGTAATCGAACATTGACTTCGACTATACATAGCAGAGAACATGATCTATCTAAAGAAACAATAATGAGATTGTAGAGAAAAATAAGATATAAAAATAAAAAATAAAGAGAGAAAGAATAGATAAATATTAAAAAGAATTAGAGAGAGAAAGAGCAAAAATCCACCTGGAAAGATTGTTTCGAGTGGGGAATCTACTCAATTTGCACGAATTTAAAAGATCATGAATTATAGTTGAACATCGATTTTTTAGCATCATAAGATATTTTCATACTAAAAGCACTATTTTGGGTAAAATTTAGAGATGTATCTTGTATAGCATCAGCCGAACACTTTATACCCTTGTTCAACTGCTTAGGCGAGCCAACATGGACTCGCCTAAGTAGCTCGGGCTTACCACCTCAGCGAAACAAGTATCCAAGCTAAAGGATATTAAAAAAGAAATTTCAAAAAAAATATAAAATCTAAAAAACAGATATTTATTTGTCATATATTTTCCATCATTTTGAGTAAGATTTGAAACTGTTTCAACCATGAATATTTATTTTTTGTGTTTTCCCTTCTTTTTGGATATTTATAAAACACTGGTGGTCAAAAATTAAGTTTTCAAAAATCATTTTTGGACTACTTTTTAAATCTCATTTAGATATATTTTGTTCGTTTTGCTTTAAATATAGGGAAATTATCGCAAATATACCTTAATTTAAGCTTAATTGAAAAAAAAAACCCCAAACTTTCGTTTATCTCGTCTACACTCTTTTTTTTCATTTTCATTTTTTTTTTTACCAAATTGACTTTCGCTATAGTCGTATTACACTAATAGTTAGTGCGCTGTACTTTAACTACCGTAATATGAATTTTTATTAAGGTACAATATCGTAATACTGAGGGCATTTTATACGGTACTTGAAGTCTGTAAACTTACACTAACCCTTATACGGCATTTTAAGTACCCAAAACACTAACCCTTATTATACATCACGTAAAATGCTGTAAACCCTTTTCTGATTAGGTTCATCTCTTTCATCTCTAATTCCTTTTATTATTACCTTTACCAGAAAAGGTCTATCTCTTTCATCTCTAATTTCTTTTCTTATTATATTTATCTCTTTCATCTCTAATTTGTTTATCTATTATGTGTTTATCTATTCTTTCTCTCTCTAATTCTTTTTAATATTTATCTCACTTTTCTCTTTTGAAATACCGTAAACCCTTTTATGCTTATCTCTTTCATCTTTCTATTCTCTCTCTTTAATTCTTTTTAATAGTTATCTCTTCTTTTTCTCTACAATCTCTTCATTCTTTTCTTAAAATGTCGTAAACCCTTTTCTCATTATGCGTATCTCTATCTCTTTCATCTTTTTATTCTTTCTCAGTCTAATTCTTTTTAATAGTTATCTCATCTTTTTCTCTACAATATCATCATTCTTTTCTCATTATGCATATCTTTTTCATCTTTCTACTTCTTTTTTAATAGTTATCCATCTTTTCTCATTATGCTTATCTCTTTCATCTTTCTAATTCTTTTTAATAGTTATTCATCTTTCTATTCTTTCTCTCTCTAATTTTTTTTAATCGTTATCTCTTGTTTTTCTCTACCATCTCATCTTTTTAATAATTATCTCTTCTATTTCTCTACAATCTCATCATCATTACCCGTGTTATATGGCACTTAAAATGCCAATAGTTGTCTTTTCTTTTTCTCTACAACACTTAAAATGCAGTAAACTCTTTTTTCATTGTTTATCTCTTTCATCTCTAATTCTTTTTATATTTATCTATTATTTCTCTCTAATTTTGTTTAATATTTATCTCTTATTTCTCTCTCTAACTTCTCTAATGAGAGTAATCAAACATTGACTTTGACTATACAAAACAGAGAACATGATCTATCTAAAGAAACGATGATGAGATTGTAGAGAGAAATAAGATATAAAAAAAAATAAGAGAAAGAAAGAAGAGATAAATATTAAAAAGAATTAGAGAGAGAAAGAAGAGATAGACATCTCTTTCATCTCTAATTCTTTTTATGTTTATCTATACTTTATCTCTCTAATTCTTTTTATCTCTTTTTTCTCTCTACAATCTTGTTTCCTCTACGATCTTGTTTTCTCTCTACAATCTTTTTTCTCTCTACAATCTTGTTTCCTTAGAGAGGTTTATGTTTATCTATTCTTTCTCTCTCTAATTCATTTTTATCTCTTTTTTCTCTCTCTACAATCTCATCATTGTTTCCTTACAGAGGGTTATGTTTATCTATTCTTTCTCTCTCTAATTCTTTTTTAGCTCTTCTTTCTCTCTCTACAATCTCATCATTGCTTCATTAGAGAAGATAATCAAACACTGACTTCGGCTATCTAAAAATAGAGGACAAGATCTATCTAAGGAAATGATGATGAGATTGTAGAGAGAAATAAGAGATAAAAAAGAATTAAATAGAGAAAGAAGAGATAA